TGTACTCTCGCGACTACCTCCGACCAATGTTGACATTGGAAAGAGCAAGTGCATATGCGCTGTTGTAAGACTAGGTATGTGCCGATACAAATCTACAGGCATCCACAATAAACACTACTGCACAGTGGTTTTGCATCGAACTAGAACTTCCTTCCGCTCAGAAGCATCGAGGTTCTTACAATTTAATTAAACTGTGACGACACGTGTGCTAGCCGTGATCTACGAGCGACTCTTCCATGTAGGCCGACTCAAAAAATGGCAAAACCCCAGAACTTTTGAAGTTCATCGAATTCATGAGGCGCAATGTACTGTCGACCTCGGAAGGTCACGACTCGCTTGTGGCTCGCCGCCTTCCACGGAAGCTAACGTTTCACCCCAGCCACCCAAACAGCATGACAGTTTCATCCCTCCTTACCCTCCCGCCATCACTCCAACGTCTCGCAGGGCGCCTAGAAGGTCGAAGCGACCGTTCCTGTATGATCTGCGTATCGTGATATGCCTTCAAGGGCGCCTGAGCGCCAAGGTATCCATTCTCTTCACGCGCCCGTTTCCGCCATGCTCGAAGCAGGCGCGTGGCCGTGTTTTCCAGGCCGACGCAACCGATTGTGTTGTTTTGTGTTTGTCTCGTGTGTTTTCTACCGGTGGAACTTTTGCGTTGGATGAGGGAATTGGGCAGATGCAGGATGCAGTACGGGTGTTGCGGCCAGGGAGAGCAATGCATCGTGAAGTCTTCGCTGTGCCTCGGTCTACGCCTGCGGAGCTTCCTGAGGCAGCGTGTATAAGAGAGGCCTGGTACCGCGCCGAATAGTAGCCTCATCAGCATCTTCAACCACAGTCTTCTCTACTACTCTCTACTTCGCTCTCTATTCAATTCTATTCCTTCCGCTGGTCGGTTCTTCATTATCAATAATCCCTTAACATAAACACTATTACCGATACCTTCTCAACCACCAACATACCAACTCAACCGCAAAAATGAAGTTCACCATCTCCGCCATCGTCCTCGCTCTCTCTGCCCTCGCAGCTGCCAGGCCTCAAGGCGCCAACGACAACCGTCCCGTTCCCGAAGGCGCGTGCTGTGTCGCAAACACCAGCTTGAAGCAGGATGTGTGCACTGTCAACGGACAGAGCGGCCGATGTGTCCCCGACAGCGTCAACAACTGTTAGTAACCCACATATCATGATCCATGAATGAGCGTTCGGAGCTAATTGCATCACATAGGCGGCGCCCAATTGACCTGCATCGAGGACAGCCGATTGAACTGCGACCCCAACACCCTTGAGAGGGGCCGCCCTCTCTGCCGCCGCATCCAGGGCGCGTAAACGAGAGGTCGCTATTGGTTTGGAGACTGGAGGAAAGGTAAATATGTTTATATTATAAAGATCAGTATGAATTGGATTGGACTTAGTAGTGGCAGGAGGAGCTGTGGTATCCAGGTCCGATAGTGGTATAGGCTACATCGGCTGACAATGAAGATGCTGTTTCACCTTATTGGTCCTTTCTGGATGTTTTCGTGACGATCTGTTGTAGTGTCTGTGGACTTTGAGGTTGTGAGAATTTCCGATGAGCCTCTTGACACTCTAGTCTAGTTAACTGGCGTTCTCTTCATGATCTAGTAGAAACTCGCGACAGATCGATTTAGAACAATCTAGCTGCCAGACTACCTTGTTTGTAGTTTCTTGAAACAGCGAACAGTATTACCACAAAGCTTTGGGGGTATGTAAATACATGCAGATGCGCTGCATTGTTGCTCATTTCCAGCCGATCTTCACTGCTACCTGGTCACTTGATACACATCTTTTGCTTCGCACACGTGCATTCTGTACAGGTTCCTACCGCTAAATAGAGCCTACGTATCCTTCCTGTTGCGCCTTAGCCCCGATTGTTCAGCCCGTCTATCCAAACGAGAATCAAGCACATCAAGACTTCTGCGACAATCAGACATGCCCGGTAACTGGATCGATGACCGCACATCGATACGCCTTGATCATATTCTAGCAGCTGCAGATCGGCATTTGGCGGAAGATCACGAGCCTCAACGGCCTGAGTCTGTGCGTGACGATTTGAAGGAGCTGTTTGGAAGCATCGATCTGAAGAGACTTGCTTATCGGCCACAACTCCACTCATCTACTTTCGCCGCATGTCAACACAGCTATTGTCGCACTCACTTGGAGCAGTGTATCCATGCTGCAAGGGAAAATAGCCATCTATGCTGCATCTGTCGTAGGGTACTTTTCCCTAAGCCCAACTATCGGATTAAAAGTCCGGAAGGCGGTCGCAACTATCAACATGAGATGGAATGGTGGGATAGGGCGCTGAACAACGTGTGCATCGTAAAGCATTTGGCGTCATGGCTGGAGCAAGAGCGACAACTTCAAATCACGTACGAGAGAGAGACGGTATGAGTGCGCTCTGTCTTCGGAGCGACACTGGGAAGCGGTAGGAAGGGTCTTTGTGTATGATCCGGCGCCGGAAGCTCGGGTTTTGGTTTCATGGCTCGACCGAGGATGACCTGAAGTACAACAGACTTTTCATAGGAGCATCTGTCAAGGCCGAAAAAGTTCATGTAGCATAGTCGGTATGCTTGATGACATGGTTAATGAAGCCGAATAGTCGGGAATGGGTCTGTGCCTACGGTGTTGCGAGAAGGACCGAACGTGATTTGCCGTTCGTCGACTAGAAGTTTCCACGTCTCGGCGGTACTTTCATTGAAACCCGAATGAGTGCAGAGTAGCGAATGCGCAGGAAGTTCCTACGGGTGTTGGTTTGGCAGCTGTACACCTGCATTCTTTGACGCGTCAGGCTCGCGTTCGTATGACGTCATCGACAGCGATAGCCCGCCGGTCACCCGGTATCCCTACGTAAGGTATCCCTAGGTGGAACGCAAACGGTGCTAGAATTTGGAGAGATCATGTGAAATGACAGCTAGGCAGGAGGCTCGTCTGTTAGAGCAAGGAGGAATGAGTGTTGATGAGATTGTTCTCTATACATTCATGGATGGGGTGCATTGCAGGGTTTCTGGTAGCGCCAGGGGCTAATCGATAACCGTCACCTCGGGAACGCGACACTTATTTCTTTACCGTACTTGCTTCACACGAGGGCGGTCCCACATTCACATCTGGTTCAGCGTGCGCTCGTGCAGGACATTACTGACATAACGGCTTCATTCCCGCTCTCCACCCCAACACTGAATGCTCGAGCAAAGTTGTAAATCTCCTGCAAAGCGACGTCGAAAAGCACCCTTGCAACGATAAAGTCATGTTTTCGTCAACGTCTTCTTCGTTCAATAATGCGGATGTCGGCGGCCGCACGAAGAGAACAGAGACAGGATACCCAGTGACCGTGTACGGAATTGGAGCCGAGCCTATAGAGTAAGTTGCGTCTAGCACAGTATCATCACTTTAAGTCAACATAATTAACAGCGACCTAGCTTGAGCGAGGAGTTCTGCAATGTTAGTCTACCGAATGTGCTTTTCTTTTTGCAGGTTGTTAACAGTGACAGGAGCTTTGCTCGGATGCACCGCTCGATTCTACAGGCCGTTTTCACGATCGTAACGCTGTCATCGAGAAGTTGCAGCGAATGAGACCAGACTTTGATTCCACGTCTACGAATTTGGCCGTGTTGAAGTATGTTCCTAAAATTGGTCTAGGTGGTGATCAGGCTAACACATGAGTAGTATCGAGAAGATAAATATTGAGAGACGCTCAAAGCCGTGCGCACAACCACCGACAGCCGAGCAAAACGATGAGCAGATTTCAGGCTTAGTTACTCCACCAGCGGATGGTAGCTCTAATACAGCCTCATCAGGCTCATCGTCAAATGACTCGGAACATACCGAATCAGATTTCGTCTCTGCTCAAGGGGATGACGAAGTAACGGTAGCGCAAAGCCTCCCTACTCAGTCCAACCAGGGGAGCGATGTTCGCGCAGCAACACCAAGTGTCATATCAACATCTCGAGACGAGGAACCGCAGACTATCTTCTCGTCAGACAAGGCATCAAAGGTGCCTTTGTCGCAGGTTTTCACATCGACTCTTCCATCAGGTTGGACGTCCGATGCTTCACAGGCATGGGAAGATTTCAAAGCATCACCCGCTGCAAAGCAGCCTCTTAAGTTCTCTTATTTAGGTTCGTCTACAGCGAAACCAGGAATGTCATCGACAGAGGATCCAAAGCCGGAAGCCTCCGTAATCCAACCCCTAACGCAAAATGCAGCGATGAAGCCATCACCGCCTGCCAGTCTTCCAGCAGCATCTTCACAAACTCGACCTGCAGACACATCCGCTGCCGTAAACCCGTCGATCCCGTCCAAAGCCGCGCAAGACCAGCTTCCAGTGCAGGAGCCGCTGGTGTCAGAGACAGATAGCGCCACCGATCGAAACGTCGCGCAGGCTACCATTGCTAGAAAAAGGATACTAGATGACGAAGATCTCACGTCGAGCAGCAACGGCTTAAGCAGTCTTGCTTCAACAAGTACTTCTGAACCAGCCGAAGTCAATAGTCAACCCCCGGTGACGCCCGATCCAGATGAAGAGTTGCATAAGTGGATTCAGGATAAGTACATCGAGATAGGATTTGATGAAAATACATCCAACTTCATCGGCTGGCCCAAACTTCATAGAAAGCTCTTAGCACATGAGCCAGATGGAGCAAAGCATGCGCGAATCAACCGGGCGGTGTCGCGGTGAGTATCATCTGACCCTTTTGGCGGTCGACTTGCTGATCTGTTGCAGACTCCGTGTATTGAAAAGTCTCCCTTCTACAACTGTGGTCCAACAAGAGAAGTCCAAAGCCCGTCGTGAACGATTAAGGAGAGCTCAGGGTCCGGGCCTACAACACACTGCAACTTCACTAGCCGAAACAACAGTAGCAACGACCACAGCATCCCAAAACATTGCACCACAAGCAATGACGCAGTCGGCAGCCCCATCGACCTCTATACCACGCACATCAACAGAGTCCCCAACAATACAAGCGCCAGCATCGCAACCTTCGGCAATGGTCTCGGAATCATCGGAGCAGCCATCTTCATATTCGCAATACTCGTTCGAGGAACTGCGTGTGGCCGAATACAGCCGCGAGGATATTCGTCCAATCTCTGGATCCAGCCAGGGTGCTCGCAAAGCTGAGGCACCCCCCTCATTACCAACAGCCGCGGAAAGTGATCGACTGGACTTCAAATTGGACCTCAGTCTCATGCAAAGTCTCGTTCCAAACAAGTGTAAATCCGATAACTCCAGTGCGACTATCATAGATGTCAGGAGAGCTATCGGGCATGCGCCGTTGCTTTCAGCCCCTGTAGTCACTCAACACGCGAAAGACTTAGTCCCGCAATTTGGCTTCATTGGTAACCACCTGGATGAAGCCGGACATGATGTCAGCCTGTTTCACAATACTAACGTGCCTTTTTCTGCATTCATATGTGGAGTTCAAGGAAGTGGTAAAAGTCATACTACAGCTTGCTTGCTCGAAAATGCTTTGATCCCATCCAAGAACCTCGGCCGTTTGGAAGCACCTGCTTCTGCACTGGTTTTCAGCTATGGAAGTTGGAGTACTGGCGGAGCAGGTTTCAGCGTCAGTGAAGCCGTGCATCTGGCTCGTGCGCAGCCCGAATATCCTGGCCAAAACGTACGAAGAATCACTGTGTTGGTCTCCGCGCACAATGGAGCGATCAGAAGCTGTTACGAGGATCCCTCTCGTAACATCCGCGTGATTCCATTCAAACTCAACGCCCGGGCTCTCGACATCACCGGTCTGCGTGCACTGATGGGTATTGGAGATAAGAGCCCCCCACTCTACATGGGCCAGGTCGAAATGGTGCTCATGAAGATGTCTGCCACGAACAAAGATGGGCGACTCGATTACAAGTCGTTCACCAAGGCAGTTCAGAAGATAGATCTAAACGAAGCACAATCGCAAGCCCTGAAACAACGTTTAGCGATGCTTGAGTCCTTCCTCGATCTGGACGGCAGGGCGGCGGAGCCAGAATTCCTTCCAGGCGAGATGATTATCATGGATCTGTCCGATGCTTTCATGTCATCGAGCACAGCCTGTGTTCTTTTCAAGCTGGGCTTGGACCGCTTTCTGGAGTCTCCCATCAAGAATAAGATGGTGGTGCTGGACGAAGCGCACAAGGTACATGCTTTGAATTCTTGACCAATGAGTTCTTGCTAACAAAACGCTAGTACATGTCCGATAGTCCAGGATCCAAGTTTCTCGCAGAGTGTCTCCGCCATACCATCAGTGTACAGCGGCACGAGGGTGTCCGTATGATCATCTCCACTCAAGAACCGACCGTGTCTACAGAACTTATTGCGCTTTGCAACATGACCGTCATTCATCGCTTTTCGAGCCCTACCTGGTATGCCGCACTCAAGAGACATATCAGCGCCCTTGACGGCAACGACGACAAGGCTCTCATGCAGCAGATCGAGGGATTGGAAACCGGAGAAGCGCTTGTGTATTGTCCGAGCACTGTCCTCGCGAAGAATGATGACGGAAGCTTAGTGAAAGCTACGGGCCGACTGCTTAAGGTCAACATCCGGAAAAGGATAACGCAAGACGGCGGCGAGTCGATCATGGCCGTGTGATTGGTTGTACATGGTCTGCAGGTGTACCGGTGCACGTCGAACTTGATTCTTGGGCGTTTTGAGCGGATGGGATTATCATGGAGATTAGTCACTTGAAGAACAACCAAAGAGTGGGTTGATTTGTAAAGTTTCCATTTACTTATGACTATCGGGAAACCGCAGCATGCGTAGTTAGCTTCATGGCATGTTCTTGTTGGGCGCTCCTTGGCCCAACTTGAAGTAACCTGGGTGTAGCTTCTGGAACACTTGAGCAGGGTCGTACTTCTTGCTCACAGCGATCAGTTTCGCTACATTCGCCGATCCATAGCTTGCCAGAGGATCTTGAAACTCGCTTGCGTAGTTCATGTAGATGTAGTCATTGTCCAAACCTTTGCTCTTCGCATAAGCCTTGACCTTGTTCATGACAGTGGAGAAGAACTTGAGAACAGCAGCATCATCCGAAGCCTTGTTCCACCAGGCGCTCATGTTCATGACAAAATAGGGTCCCTTGCTGGCGTCAAGACCGAGCGCATTACCGCCATTCTTCTGCATGCCTTTGAGTTGGCCTTCTGTGATAGCTTGGATGGAAATGTACGGCGAAAGACCTTCAACGTTTTGAATATCTGGAAGCAGCGTGTAGTAGGTGTTGACGAGATAGGTGTAGAGTTCGCGGTCGACTTTGAGAGACACGTCCCACATAGTCTGGCGGTTGCCAAGCTCTTCCTCAGCACTACCGCCGTTCATCTTCATAGTCATGTTGGCCAGCGTGCCAAATGCTGTGTCATCCATCACGGGAGAGAGGGCTCTGATCTCCGCGAATACGGGAGGATCGGCGACAGGTTGTGCGTAGTGTGTTTGTACGATCGCCATTTTTCCGATACTGGACTCAAATCCAAAAGACTGCGCGGGGTCAGACACACGCCAATACAACGGCTGCACCACTAGTAGGTACTTACAACAATCTCAGCAGCGTCAGTGTCCTTGGAGGATCCGGTAAGGGCGAAGTTGTAGAGAGCATCGAGTACGCCAGTAAAGTTGTTCTCTGTAAAGATGCGTTGACCGCCCCACATTTGGCCGAGTGGGAACGCATCGAGCTTGAAGTTTGTAACGATGCCAAAGTTCCCACCGCCCCCACGAAGTGCCCAGTACAAGTCGGGAAATTTCGTTGGGGTTGCGGTTACCACGAGACCAGAAGCTGTAACGACTTCGTAGGCAGCAACGTTGTCGCAGGCCCATCCCACCTTGTTCGAAAAGAAGGAGATACCGCCACCCAACACGAGACCTGGAACACCTACTGGAGCCATCTGGAGAATTGTTAGCTAGCTCACATGCCATAGATTTGGTGGGACTTACTCTGCCACCAACAACTCCAAGGCCTGACTTCTCAAGTTTGGTGTAGACATCGACCCATAGATTACCTGGCCCAACATTGGCGTACTTCTTATCGTTGGATGCCGCGACGGTGTTGAATCTCTTCATCGAAACAGTGATTCCGCCCTCGATGCTCGATGCTCCAGCAAAAGCAGCATGGCCGCCACCCTTGACGGCAAAAGGGCACTGAGTGAGACGAGATATCAAGACCAATGAAGACACTTCCACCGTGTTTGAAGGTTCGAAGATACATTGAGGGTTCAAGGCGCCCTGTTGGGCAGCCCAGTATGTGGCAGTGAAGGCGTCATAGGCTGAGGTTTGTTCGGATAGGAGCTTTCCGCTGCCATATATGAGCTTCAACGAAGAGCACTATGTATCTGTCAGCGTTTTGGGTATAGAATCAGAGTACGAAAGATGAGACGCACAGCTATCGAGCAGCCACTGAGTGCGCTCCGTTCCACTAAGCCCGAGAGCTGAGGGATGGCGGAGACGTTGACACCATTGGCGATCAAAGCTTCAGTCACGTTGAAGTCTGCTGGTTCGAAAGCCCCAGTCTGAGCTGAAACAGATGCCACGAAGGCGCCAAGAGGAATGAAGGATCTCATCCTGGATGCAGTGGGAAGGAAGAAGAAATTTGGGCGTGAATCCAAGAAACCGGATGTGATGGAGCGCAGGTTCAGCCTGATTTATTCTGCTTCGTTTGGCAGATCTTCATCGAGCGACGATTGGCATGAGTATGCGAAGTTCATCTCGCTTGCGCTCTTGCTGCCGCATTCAAAGTTTAGGCGGTGCGAGCGGCTAGGGTACTCACGTGGGAGGTTCGAGATGCCCAGCGCGGCGGCGAAAGTCAAGCTTTGGCCGACTAAACAACGCACGCCCACCTGCAAGTAGGTATCCCTGGCAGTGTTTATATTGGGGCGGCAGATCCCTTGCATACGCTGCTGTTCGATCGCTTCAGAATTGCTGGTAGCTTAGGACGGCTTGTCGAAAAAGGCAGGATGGAGGATCATGCACTAATGGCGAGTAACCATGCCGCAGTATGCGTGGGATGCGACGGCAGGCTTTTGGTGAAGATGGGGTGGTAGCGTTACCGAGGTACCCACACCCAGATAGCGAAGTCCCTAAACGCCAAGCCACTACGGAGTGCTCCCCGTTGACGCTGGAAAACTTCCGATCGTGTCGCTCGTCCATACCGGCTTTGAGCGGGCCGCTGTGCCTCAACCCGTGGTCTTCCCGTAACACCTTTCGTTTATGCCAACGAGCGATGTTGCAAAGATGTTGTCCACTTCTCTAATACGCCGTGCTCATTCATTTTGCCACCCGCATTAGCCGGAACTCCATCCATGAGAGGACTTTGTCAGAATATCTGCACCTACAAGGGCTGCGTTCCCATCTCGCGGTCTGCAGGCGCAGCGCCTCACCGTGCCACCCAGACCCTGGCCGCTAAGTGACCAGTAGGATGCATCCCATGAGGACCAAAGGTTCGGTTGCGAGATCCTTCCTCGGACACATCCCGTGAGCAATTCTTGCTGCTAATTCGCCATAGTAAAGCCAACTTGGTTCTAGAATCATGTTTCGGCATGTTCGCTGTATAATTAACGCGAAAGTTGGTGACATGCACTGTGCCACTTCGCCGCACAATCAGTAGAAGGTAACATGCTCCGATCGGTTCCAACGACCTGGGATACAGGATCAAGCCTCTTTTGCTTTTCTATCGGCCAAGTGTTCGCTGGAGTGCCCTGCGATCCTTCTCGCCGTGTCACACTTTGCCGTAGGGGTGCATGATGGTCATTTTCCCACTGGCATCAAACACGGGCAGAGAAATTTGTAGTTGTTAGGGACGACAGGGTGTCTCTGGGTGAAGTACCCGTCATGGCCTGACACACACGGTTTACGAAAACCGTTATATGGACTGCGGCGGATCATGACATATGCGTCTTCCATGACCCAAGCTCCCGTCTGATAACAAGACGTCTCAAGTCTCTTCTTTACATTATACGGCTCACGTCGTCATTTGATCTCATTCTCCAACTCATTATGTACGAGGCTTCGAAGGCTCCAGTTTCCAAGGATGTTCTGTTACGGACGAACGCCGTCATGCTCGTCCTAACGTCCGGATTTGTCTTTGCGCGCGCCGTATTGCAAATCGCCAAACGTAAACCGTTCGAGCTGCCAGACTTCTTTGTCTATTTTGCGTATTGCTTGTTCATCGCGCTATGGGCTTGCTATCACGTCGTTACGCCACCGATATACAGGGCGTATGCTTTCATGGAAGGAGAGACTGAAGCGTACGCCACTATGAAAAACGATGCTATTGCAATGCTGAAGTTCCTCGTGGCTGGTCAGATCTGCTTTTACACCCTTCTTATCTCGGTCAAGATGTCATTGATGACGTTGTATCGGAAGTTGCTCGCTGGGCTGCCAAGCATCTACAGGAAGATATGGTGGGCCTTGGTCGCTTTTTGTGCGTTGGTGAGTATGCGAAGCAAGACTTGCCCGAATACTTTCGCTAATAGACCTCTGGGCGTGGATTGGTAGTGTCACTAGCACTTTTACTACATGCGACGACCTAAACGCGGAGTTCAGAGAGGGCCAGTGCGGCGGAACTCTTGACGAGGACCGAAGAGTCATCTTCAGTCTCTACTTCGCGTACTCCGTCGATGTGGCGACCGATTTAGCAAGTAAGCGCATCATTTAACATTTTCCCAGCGTGGCGTACTAATCCACGTAGTCATGTTTTTACCGTTACATCTGACATGGAACCTCCAGATGCCTCGCAAGCAAAAGGTTGGTATCTTCATATTGTTCGGGAGCGGTTTCATCTGCATCGCCTTTGCAACTTTACGATGCTTGCAAGTCGGTGTTGATGGTAGTGGAAAGGCTACAACACCGGAACCCAAGTGGTTGATGCTGTGGACTATATTGGAATGTTCAATAGGTATGTTCACTGCTCCATCCGCGAGGTTCAATACATGACTGACAGAATATACAGCTATCATGATCGCATGTTCGCCTGCCTTCGCATCTTTCATTCGAAAGCGTATAAATACTTCGAAACCATCGTACAATGCACAAGGCTACTTCAAACAAGGAACTGATGAGATAAAGATGAAGAGCATCATTTGTGCCCCAGTTCGAGCCAAACGTGGCGATGCGGATATGTATTGGGATGATACGCATAGTAGTCAGGAAGAACTTGCTGGGAACTCTAGGCGCATCGTCGTCAAAACTACAGTACAGCAAAATGACGAGATCTCTGGTCCTCCCTGGAAGCATGTGGGTACCAGACAATCCTGGACGACAGAGGTACACAGTGGCAAGGGAAGAGTAGCATAACTTAGCTGTTAAACCAGTCAACACCCCTAACCATTTTATCACATATGTAGCCAGTGACAAACGCATATGTCCCCTTATGCAAAATGTCAATGACCTGCTCGTTGATCGGCCACGTCCACGGAACCATGGAAACATTCGCTGTGGTCTCCACCAACTGATCCAGCATGATGCGAATACCGGTATGCATGAAGACAGCTACCGGCCCGATGACGCCGTAGTACGACATGACCGCTCTGAAAGGCCCAGCAAGCATGCCCATACCGAAGTGATGAGCATGATTCAACAGGAAGGTGTGGCGCTGGTAAAATTCTGGTGAGACACCCATGTGGTTACCCATCGTTCGCGCGGGTACGTAGGAGTCTGGACGGCCTGTGAAGAACTGTTCGACTTTGTTCGATCCTGACATGCTGGAGAAAGTCAGGCATTTGCAGAAAGATGGTCAGGTGGCAACTGTCTTACACTAAGGCTCCTACAAAGCCGGCTCCGATACCGATAGCGACCGCGCGACCGAATCCGACCTGCGGAAATTTGGGAAAGCTCGACTTCGCATCTGGATACGAGACCGTTCCGGTCGCGGTGTGGTATTGAGGCATGATGACTATGCTTTGGATGGCGATGGAAAGGGAGTAGAGGTCGCCCAATGTGGTTTGGAACTGGAGAAAGGAGGGTGCGAATCGTCGTTGCGATGCTTTGTTTTGCACCTGACGTTTGCGCTGTGACTTAATGTGGTCGTGAGCGAATGACCAATGACTTCGCTCACTTTGACGTCACGCATCGCCGGGTTGCCAGATCTTCGGAGTGCGCGAGCCTGCACATTACACAACATGTGGCAGAAGGTAGTATAGAAAAAAGAATGCGAATATAAAGATCTGAAAGGAAGCTTTCAAGGTTCGTTGCCAACAGAATCAGATTTGTTGATTTTACACGGCACCGCGTCAGTGTCACTATGTGTTAAGATGTTGCTGTGGCCTCAGGTATCGCATTATTGCAGACTTGAATACTGACTCAGTTTGCCTCATCTAAAACTTCCAAGAATTTTCAAACCGTTCATGCCGACGCCATTGCTGATGAGCTCTCCATCGACGGCCATTCAACGTCCGTATCCATTTCCGAACTTAGCCCCAAGCGTTGTGCGACCGAACACTGTCAAAGAGTCAGGCAAGGTAGGTACTTTTTGTATGAGTCATTTGAACAGCTATCGTACGTGAAAGCGGCTCCAAATTTGGCAACGACGGTGCCTTCGGCGCTGGTGTCATCGCATGTGAAGGTGACACAAGCGCGCCTTCTGCACTAGTACGCGTTCTTTATATCCAGGTAACTTCCTCACCCACTCAACCACCAAGCGCAGACAAACAACAGCTTCCAAAACAGCACAAGCACTCCAACCGCGTCTGCCACAGCAGTGTGAAAGATGTCGTCATTTCTTGACCTGCCCGCGGAATTGCGCAACCAAGTATACGGTTACATTGCAATACCCCACACAGTACCTCTCTCCTCCTACATGGGGCTCTACCTATCCTGTCGCCAAATTCGATCTGAGATGGATAGCGAGTGCGCCAATGTGTTTCGACAGTACCTCGGGACCTTCCAATATCAGCTCCAAGACGCTCACCTCGACATGCCTGAGACTTTCGCGGAAATGCAGCACGTCCGCCTGCACGTCACACCAATTACAGCCTCAAACCTCGTTCGATGGTTCGACGAAAGTACAGCTTTATTCCCCCTCCATCTTGCGAGCCTTTCGATCATCCACGACTTCTCGGAAGAGTTGCCTCTGTCGCGTCAGACGAGCGATCTTATCCTTTTGCTTGGAGATGAGATATGTGACCAGCTCACGACAGGGGCGGCCAAATCTGAGCAAATTAGGATAGAGTCCTTATGGTCTTCAGAAGAAGCTGCGAAGGGTTTCATCCACCGTCATCCAGGCTATGAGTTTCAAACACCAGAGTGGACCTTTTCATGGGAGGTGGGCTCTGAAGGTGCTCTATGTGGTTTGTGGAAGAAGGGAGGATAAAGTAGCTGCCACGGATAGCTTTTAAGGAAATCTTGCTAACTTCTTACTAGTACGCCTTTCTCTTACTATGCTCTAGCTGCGCAGCAATCGAGGCAGTTTTGATACATCTTACTATCTGTCCTAACAACTTAATAGATGGAGAGGAACGCAGCGGGGTGCTAGCGACTGATACCATGGGTTTTGTATGCGAGATCGAGATTGGAAGGGACAGCGAATGAGGTGACACGTTTGGTCTGTGGAGAACATACCGGTCCGAGCAAGAAGCCGTGGTATTTGCCTTGTCACGAAAGCGTCCGAGCACTGAAGAAAAGAGCGGTAGAGCTATACACGCCGATGTACATGTCATCATATGCGCAAGTAGACATGTATTCGTAATCTTAGTTCTATACAGATTGCGTTTCATCTCAGATTCCACGATCCTTTCCCTGTTGCAATGCGCGCTTCTCATACATCTAGACACCCCAGAGCTCAATGTTCATGACCATGATGCTCATGCCCAGCGCCCTTCTCCGCGAAGTCGATCTTCCACCCTTTGGTAATAAACACCCGCGGGTCCCTCACCACCGCATACGCAGCCTTCTTACCCTCGGCAGCATGGAACTCAAGCGGCACAGGCTTCTTCCTCTGCGTCTCCTTCTCACCTTCCTGCATGACGACGACCTCAGACATGTCCTTCCACGCCTTGGGTGCACCGACAATGATGATCTTCTCGACGCGCACCTTCTCCATGGTCTTGAGGTACTTCTCGCACTTGACGGTGCGTTTGTTAGAGTCGAGATTGGAGGAAGTGAGGATCTGGCGAGTGCCGTCGAAGGAGAAGCGGCGGTGGATAAAGGCACCCATCTCGTAGTCGAAGGTCTCGCCATCGTCAACGTACAGAGTACCAGCAGCGTTGCCGTCTTTATCGAGAGCGATGACCAAAGTGAAGGGGTCGTACTTCATGAGTCCAGAGGAACGACGAGGACGGTCGCGGCGTGGGATGACGTGGCCACCCTGCATAAGAAGAGGAATCTTCTCGAGAGGAGCTGGTACAGTGTGGTGCCCAGCGCCGCTGTAAGTGGTGAAGTCAAAGTAGTCATAATAGGGCTGGTCGTCCGCGAGGTAGATAGAGACACTGTCAGCACCCTCCTTTGTGACTGGCTTCGCGAGGAGACCAGTGGAGCCAATGTAGAGTTGGTCGTCAACTTCGAAACCACGTTCGTCGGCAGGGTGGACCCAGAAGTTGGGTCGGATGATAGGGGCACCGGTGGTGTGAGCCTCATGGAAGGCAGTGTACCAGGCAGGTAGGAGTTGGTAACGAAGACGAAGGGCCTGAGTAATGATCTCCGTGTATGGAGAGCCAGCGACGTATGGCTCACGACGACGAGTGTCGATATGAGCGTGACCACGGAAGAATGGGTAGTAGATACCAGCCTGGTACCAGCGAGTCAAGAGTTCCTTACTTGGGTTACCGAAGAAACCTCCAACATCTGCACCACCGAAAGGGAAGCCGGAGATACCCTGGTTGAGGACCATGGGAATGGAAGCCTCAAGATGACTCCACTCAGCCTGGTTATCGCCAGTCCACATGGCAGCCGTGCGCTGACTACCAGAGTAGAAAGCTCGGGTAAGCACGAAGGGACGGCGAATCTCGCCTTTCTTGCGCTCGGTGATGGCTTGGTATGTCGCATTGTGGAAAGTCATACCGTTGATGTTGTGAACATCGCGGTGCTCCCAGTTACCGTGGTGCAAGTTGTCCTTGGGCATAGTTGTCTCAGGGCCGTTGAACACCGAGGGCTCGTTCATGTCGTTCCAAATGAAGGTGTTGTGGGCAGTGCCCTTGAACTTGTCGTAGTTGAACAAGCCCTTCCACCAGTCGATGGCAGCCGGGTTGAAGCAGTCGATCCACATGGATGAGCCAGGCCAGCACCAGCCCTCGTACTGCTTGCCTTCCTTGTTCTTGACAGCGAGGTCCTTCTTCCTCAGCTCGTCGATGATCGGGTAATCGTTCGTATTCTTGATATGAGGGTCGATGATCGCAACAAGCTTCCTGTCACGCTTGTCGAGCTGCTGCTGCATGCCTTCGGGTTTGGGGAAGGTCAGAGGGTCCCAGGTAAAGTACTTCTTCTCTTGTGTGTATTCAATGTCAAGCCAGATGACGTCGTACGGGATGTTGAACTTGTCAAATCTGCGGTCGACGTCCTTAACATCCTCATCGGTGACATAGTTCCATCGGCACTGATGGTAGGCGATGGCGAAGGACTGAGGCATAGCCGTGTAGCCAGTCAGCTCACCATACTGGCGAGTGAGGTCCTGAGGAGTCGGTCCGAGGAAGACGAAGACGTCCAGCAGACCACTCTCCGACATCCAATGCGTCTCAGTATCGGTATGGCCCTCAACACCAAGAGCGAGCGGGTTGGCGGTGTTCCTCTTCTTTGTCACATCGATCCAGGTCTCGGCACCGTTGAGCCAAAAGACACCGACGGTGGAACCCTTGCGATGGGCTTGCATGAACGGGATGGCGCCGTAGAGAGTCATGGGGCTATCCATCTCGTACTCGAAGACGTCGGCGTTATACAGTCGGTATGGCTCGGTGTAGGCATTGTCGCCGCCCCTAGAGATCGTCAGCTAAGTAGATGTATTTGTGTGGATACTGCGCACCTGGTGGTCTTGAGAGATAGCCTTGTCGCGTGCTCTGGGATACCAAAGACGTGCGCATATCCAGGGAATGAAATGTCTAGCGCAACAGCCTCAGGGCCTCTCGGCTTGCTGTCTGTGTTGCCACCAAAGCTCTCGTCCCACCACGTGCTTTCATCCTCTACAGGCTCTTCGGCCTTCTTCTCTTCCTCCTTGACTTCTTCCTCGCCCTCCTTCTTCTCCTCTTGTGGCTTCTCAACCTTGGGTCGCCAGTGTTCGACGTTCATGTAGCCGCGCTCGTTGAACTTGACTTGCGTCTCGCCATCGCGTTGGAACTCGATGCCGAAGGGCGCGTGGCGGATGACGGCTTGGTGCTTGCTGCCCTTGCCGTAGACAACCTTGGTGTAGCCATCTTCCGTCTCGGGGTTGAAAGCAGCGCCCTTGGACGGGTCTAGCCCTCCAACGAGAGTCCATTGCGCCGCCTCGTTGTATCGCTCCTTCCGCGCTTGACTGTCGTGTCGCAGTTGGATGTCGCCCTTGGCCCTCTTCTCTTCGTCAAGAGTAACGCGTGCCACGCCCGACTCGAGGAATGTAACGGTGAGCGGCAAGCGAGCTTTCTCTTCGCCTTCCTTTAGTGTCTTGAGCACGACGGCATCTAATTGGCCATTCTTGAACGTGATTGAGGCAGGGTCGAGGACGTAGGGCGAGGTCCAGGAGCTCGAAGCGGAGACGTCATCGGCGAACTGGCGGTTGCGCTTGCAGAAGCCCGATTGACTGCATGTCTTGAAGTTCTCATGCTTGACCGATACTAATATCCATTAGTAACCTCCTTGTAACTTTGCATGTATGCAGAAAGAATGCCGTCGTGGACTGGAGATATCGGGGGGGGGGGAGCTTAGCTACATACCAGCTGGCACGAACAGGCAAGCCAACAGCGCCAACACCAAAATCACAGCCGTCCAC